CCTGTGCTTCCTTTTCTGGTTTGAAGGTAGGTTGAGAACTCATTCAACAAGTCAGCCGGATTGGCTGTAAAGTTCATCGACCCACCGATGGATGTAGCAGCAGCAGCATGGTACTTGTTTGTATGTGGTCTAGCGTGTGAGCCCTTATGATCTCTTAAAGGCTTGTTCTCAAACCTTGGCTTCAACTCAGGGTGCAATATCCAGCATCGATCTATTAGATGTCCAACATTATTACAATGTAGACACTTCAGATCTGGCCTTTTTCCTTTGTATACTTTATCTCCAAATGACTTGTGATTTGTCACAAAAGCTCTAGCCTCAGACACACTAGGTTTTACATCAACATTCATGACTTTTCTGCGTACTTCTTCTCGCTGGATAGTAGTGCAAACACTTGCAAATGATGGAAGTTCGGGATTCATTAGAATATGGCTTCTAAGATCTTCATATTCAGAACCCAAACTTGCAAGCAAATGAAAGATTTTGTCTTCCTCGGACCTTTTTAACAGTACGGCAGCATCGATAGTGTGTGGTCGATACATATCTAGTTCGTTCCACATGTTTTTCATGCAACCGAGATGATGAACAAAGGATTTATCACCTTGTTGAAGACTTGCGAGATTCCTCTTAAGCTGGAACACTCGAGCAGCATTGTTTTGATTTCCATACATGTCCTTGACTGCCTTCCAAAGAGCACTAGAGGATTCTGAAAAACTAAAAATTTCAGACAGCTTAGGATTCATGGAGTTGAGGAGCCACGACATGACCAGCTGGTCTTTGCACAGCCATGCTTCATACTCCGGCGATGCGACGTCAGGTGCTTCAATACTTCCATTGACGAATCCAAGTTTGGATCTTCCTCCAAGGGCAAGAGATATTGATCTGGACCATGGAAGATAGTTAAACTCATTTAACAACACAGAACACAAACGTTGGTTTGGGTTGACTTCAGCTTCTGGAAAACTAGGGCGAGGAGCTGTGAAGCTTTCAGCTTCTGAGACAAAAAGATTATCTTCTGCCATTATCGAAATGAATGTGCAGAAAAAGAGAAGGGACAACAATGGAGTCAGGCCGGTTAAGGTTCCGGCTCTGATACCATGTGGAAAATATGGAAGAGAATGCTTTTTCTCATTATATTTCTCTACAAGATTACAAGGATATATATATATACATGAAAAAAGGGAAGACTTATGTCCAATCACCCTAAATTAAGGGATACAAGTGTGTAGGTAGGACGGCTTATAGGACGGCTATAGGACGGCTTATACTTCCAATAGATCCCTTATCTTGTAATGCGTTATGGTTGAAATGATGGCAACACCAGTGGAAAAAATTGCAAAAAAATTTAAAATTTCTAATATTTTAAAAAAGCTTCTTATTTCCTAAAAAGTTATAATATTTTCTAAACATTTATAATATTTGTAAAATTTCTAATAATTCCAAATTTCTATTATCCCCCCCTCCACCCAAAAAAAAAAAAAAAAACTTTCCCCACGCCCTTCCTCGTACAAAGTCACACATGTAAATCAAGAATTCACATCTGCAACTCATAAATATTTCACAAATTTATACATACAAATCAATGAATTTCGTAGTATAAAATTTGTAATATGAAAAAAAGAATTCGAAATAAGCAGGGGATATCATACCTTTGTGAGAGTGAAAAAGTGAGAGAGAAGGCGAGTGAGAGAGCTAATAGGGGGAAATAATTTGCAGAGAGAGAGCCTTGATGTAGCGCAAGGAAGAAGAAGGAGGCTCTCAGTTCGTCGGGCACGATCCAACTTTCGTCGGCCAAAAGTTTGAAAATATGCCACGTGTACCATTAAAGTTTGCCCGAAAAATTTGTTCATCGAACATTCAACAAAGGTTTCATAGAAATGTTATGGGGCGCAGTTAAATTTTTTGGCCAAAAAAATTGTGGGAAATTGCCTTGCTTGACGAATTTCACAGTATTTTGTTGGGTAAACTCTTAAAATTTTTTTTTTTATTTTGAAAAAATAATTGGGGGAAATTTGAATGTTTGCCCAACGTAATTTAGTATTGTTGCTTGACGAATACTAGATATGTTTATTTGACAAACTTCACTAAATTTGTCAGGCAAACACAAAAAATTCGATTTTTTTCAATTTTTTTATTTATTTTCAAACGGATACAAGTTCATCGAATTTGATGAGAACGTCAATTTAGGGTGTGGTTTAACCTTAATTACCATACGTCCTTGCAAAAAAATCACCAAATTCGAAGGTGATATAACCGTTAAATCATGATGATATGTTTTTAAGTGTTGAACTTTTTGTGTCGTTACCTAATCTTTGAAGGTTTGTTTTTGGTGATTTGAGGCGTATGTGATCTCATACTCTATTCAAGGAAGTTTGACCGTTGGATCGTTGAAATTAGTTTCATAGGTTACATATCCTGTCAAAACAATATATTCAACAAACACTTGGAGTTTATTCTATACTTCTATTAAGTAGAATGTAAGATTTTGTAGGTAACCACTATGTAACTATTTTAAATTGATGAACAGGTCTCTTCATTGTATTCTTTTGGGGTTGAGGAGTGTAGTTGTAAAAGATTATTAGTCGGAGCTAAAATAACCGTTAAATAATGATGATACATTTCCAACCATCTATGGATTTCTTCTCGTTACTAATCCCTGAAAATTTGTTTTTGGTGATTTTTGACATTTGCGATCTCTTACTATGTTCCACAAGTTTGACGATTGGATCATTGAAATTAGTTTTGCAAACTGTGAAAACCATCGAAGGAATTAAATATGCAAAAATGTCCTTCACCTTTGCCCAAGAAAATCATTCATTTTGCCCAACGAACTTTAAACCCTCAACCCTAATCCCTAAATCAAACCTTTGCCTGACGAAACTTGAGCAAAGTTAATTTTTTTTTGCCTGACGAAACCTTTCCATTGAGCAAAGTTATATTGCCCGACGAAATTTGACCCATTCATTCAGTCGAAGTCTTCATTTATTTTTTTTTTTAAATGAAAATTAAATTAATAGAATACTTGATGTGGTACTGATTGCATTGTGAACTGAAATTAAATTAATAGAATACAATATTCATTACAATGGATTGCACATAATATTACAACGGATTGTGCATAATATTACAACAGTGAATTTATAAATTGAATTCAATCACTGTTGGTATACTCTTCTAATGCACTATTGTCGTTTGAATCACTTTTAGTACTTGAGACATCTCTGCTATCAACAAGGACGACATTCGAAGCAATTGGTGGTAAGGGCTTAGGGTCAATACAATATATGTATCTATTTCAATTAGGGGTACACTTGATATTTGGCATGGTGGTTGTATGAGTTTGTTACTTCGTATTCCCAGAAGGTCTCGGGTGTTTTCGGATGAATCCTCCTGGTAAACATTTTGGTCATCGTCACAAGTCCCAAATATTTGTATAAATTGGACTACTTTCCACCCACACCACCCCCCCCCCCCGGCGCCCGCCTTTGGATCAAGGTCTCGGGTGTTTTCGGATGAATCCTCCTGGTAAACATTTTGGTCATCGTCACAAGTCCCAAATATTTGTATAAATTGGACTACTTTCCACCCACACCACCCCCCCCCCCCCCCGGCGCCCGCCTTTGGATCAAGGTCTCGGGTGTTTTCGGATGAATCCTCCTGGTAAACATTTTGGTCATCGTCACAAGTCCCAAATATTTGTATAAATTGGACTACTTTCCACCCACACCACCCCCCCCCCCCGGCGCCCGCCTTTGGATCATCAAGTTAGAATACTTGTTTTGCCGCATATAAACATTAAGTAGAATCAAACACTGTATTTGATGTGTGAATCCAAATGTAAAAATTAGGAGTCACGCAAGATGAGAAGCCTAGGAGGCGCGTGACTGATGGAAAAACAAAAATGGGAATCGGACACTATAACGTAGTGTCTGAATCCAAGTGTAAAAAACAGAACCAGGAAACAAACTCTGCATTGTAGTGTTTGAATCCAAATGTAAAAATCAAGAGCCACGCGAGGTGTGAAGCATAGGAAGCATGCAAATGATGGAAAAAATGAAATTGAGAAACAGACACTGCAACCAGCATCTAAACGAAATGTTAAAACAGACACTAACTTATTCCAAAATATAAAAATATAAGAGATGGGGTGTCAATTGAAGTGGGTGCCAACTCTAGTGGCAGATTTTGTAATTTTTGTTTATTTTAAATGTATTTAAGTATCATAATACATGATTGATTTATTTATATTTAACATAAACATTATTAATATTGTAACTTTTTATTGATTTTCTACACAATCACCCAAAAAAAAAAAAATCTATATCCACCACTTTGGTGATGTAATGCGTTTGTTTTAAATGTGTGAGGTTAGGTAGGCCTTTTTCTTGAACGTTGTTTGCTTTATATGGTGTAAGAATGTGAGTGAGATTTCATGCTCTCATAGTGACACCAGCAACCACCAAAAAAAAAAAAAAACAAAAAAATGTTAAAACGCTTTCAATCGCTTGCGTAATGCCTTGCGGAGGAAGCTTCCTTTTTCTTTTTGCTTTTCTTTTTTTCCTTTCCACAAAAAAAAAATAAAAAAAATTGTGCACTCGCTGTGTCCCTCCGCACCAATTAATCAAAGAAAAATTAAAATACATAAATAATTAGGAGTGTGTATAAGCAGAAAAAGAGTGTAGATATCATTTCTCTTTCTATAAGAAGTGAACTAGTGCCCAACTTGGTCCAAAAAAGAAAATCAGCGCTCAATTTTTTATTTTTTTTATTTGAGCAATATTCTAAATTGGAAGAATATTACCTAATGCCTAGCCATACTTTGCGGGACTGATTTTCCACTACAGTTTAATGGTATTCTTTTTCACTGGTAAGTGAGAGGTCTTAGGTTCGATTATTGTCAAAAACGAATTTGAACCATATTATTGTTAGTTCATTGTGAGGCTTAGCCCACTCCTCATCTTTTTAGTGTAGATAATATCATTTGTTCAAAAAAAAAAAAATGCAGTCAAATAATCTGGTATATAATACTATCAAGATGTTGATTACTACCTATCATATTATTTAAAATTTGTACTTCTAATTAACAATTTGTGAAACTTTCCACCTTTGGCTACGACGTATATTCTCCTCTACTCACTCACTTCACTTGCATATTCATGAAGAAGAAAAATTGTGATATACAGAGTTACGCGAAAAAGCTACCTGAGAGTGGAAGACTCAAGAAAACGGCATCAATGGAGTTGTCATAGTCATTCATCAAAACCACCTTTTGCCACCCTTGGCTACTTTGAGCTTCATGACAAGTTCTTCGCGCTGAGCTTCTACCTCCGCGTATCTCAGGCTCATGTGCAAGTAGCGCTCGCGAATGTCTTTCAGTTCCGTCTCTAGAGATGACCTTGAGCGTTCGTGTCTTTCTTCAGCTTTTGAATTTCGACGAGCATCTGCATGATTGTGTCGAGCCTCAGACAAGTACCTGCGGGGGTGATAGTATATATCTGTTAATTGACTTGTACATAATAGATTTACAGTAAGAAGACAAATGATACTTAATGTGTTTTGAAGGCCTAATGTGTTTCCTCTTACACTCACCTATCAAGTTGAACTTTGTAAGTGTTATTTGCTTCCAATGCCTTAACAAGTTCATCTTCAAGCAACTTAATCTTTAAACCAAGTTCTTCAACTTCATTTGGACTTTCATCATGAAATTCGACTCCGTTATCATCCTGTAATGGCAGAGAGTAAAAGGATGAAAACAAAGTAGACGATTTGCAAAGTTACATGAAACTACAAACATATATTCATATACACTCTGTTATCATGCGTATGTCTTGTTGTACTAAGACAACATAAAGAAAATGAGAACATATTTTGGCATTGCATGATCAGCTGTAGAAGCAAGATATAAAATGTCTAACCTCTCTTTGATGCTGGTTTCTATACGGATAATTCTGATCTGTTGCATTTCCTTGCACCTGACCATTCTTCGAAATTGGCTTCCTTCTAAAATCACGACAGTGAATGCTGTTCCTCACCATTTCATTCTGTTTAGAGAAAAATCAAAGAATGTCAGAAAGTAGTACCTTTACAGTCTTGACACCAACTGTTAATAAGCATACAACGAAAAAATGATACTTACTTTTGGGACCTTCATATCTTCACCAACAGGAATAACTCTGGTGCCGCCTTTTGATGAGCTGGAAATCGGACTGCTACAAGCCCTGTGTTTCTGTTTTTCTTCCTTTGTCACTTTCAATTCTTGTTCAAGGGCTTGAGACTTTCTTAGGAACTCACTTCTCTCGTCCTCAAGTAGCTGTATTTCCAGCTGATACTGCTCGTTGGCTCTCCTGATCTGGTTGAGCTCATTCTTCATCTCGGCATACTGTGCACACAAAGCCTTTTCTGCAGTTAGATCACCTTCCATCTGCAGAAATTTTTCCTCCAAGAGAACTTTATTACGTTGGCAATCCTCCAAGTCAAATAAGGCCTTCTCCAATGTTGAGATCTTCTCATGGAATGAACTCTTCTCTGCCTTCAGATCTTCACATTCCTCAGATATTGAATCCAATAACGCTTCCAATTTTTCTTTCTCGAACTTGGTTGCATCCAGCTCATTCTTGAAAGCCAAAACTTCCTCCTGACAACAAGTTAGTTTCTCAATTTGAACCTTCATATTGGTGGATTCTTCCACCACCTGTTGATGTTCATAATCAGAAACTGTAAGCTTTAGTTCAAGATCATTCACATTGGTCTTCAGTTTTGCTTCACTTGATTTGTAATTCTCCAACAACTTCAATAGCTTTTCATGGTCAGCTGTTGTTGACTCCTGATTTTGTTTATCGACAAGCTCAGCGAATAGGCCTTGTAACTTCGCTTCAGATTCTGTTCTCATAATATTCAATTCATCCTCCATCTGTATCGCTTTAGATTGAAACTCTTGGAGAGCAGATTGAAGCATTTCCTTCTCAGTTCGAAGTCTGGATGCTTCCTGGACAGCATCTGAAGCTAGTCCTTCTCTTTCTTCATGAGTAGCAGCAAATTGCTTGGTAAGTCGTTCTACCTCTTCCTGAAGGCTCTCAACTTCAATTGTCTTCTCCAAATACATCTTGTTGAACAAACTTTCTTCCAATGTAAGTTTCTCCTTATATTTCATGTTTTCATCAAGAAGTGCATCTAATTCTGAATTCAGGCTCTCCTCTTTTGAGGTGACATTTTCCAGCATTAAAGAAAGATCTTTTTCCAGCACTTCAACTCTTTTGGAGCAATTTGTAAAGCTCTCCTGCGATTGATTCAACTTTGCTTCCAAGAGGGAACAGAGCTGATGCAACTCCAGCTTTTCCTTCCTCAACTCGTCATTTGAATTCTGAATAGAATTGCACTCCTCAATGAGGTTCTCAGCAGTAGCTTGTAGCTTCAGGTTTGCCCTTTTCAGAAATTCACATTCTTCTCGAGCTTCTGACCACTGCCTCTCTAAGTCCTTTAATTTCTGTTTCAGTTCAACTTTATCAGATTCCATCTCAACGTTTAATCTACTAATCTCATCTTGGAGACTCAGAGAATAAGATTGGGAATTCTCTAATTCTAACTGATTGGCCTCTTTTTCATCTGTCAAGCATCTTTGTTGAGCTTCAAGTGCAGAAATACGTGCTGACAACTGTATGTTTTCTTGTTCAAGCTCTGATAGATGAAGGTCCAGTTCACATTTATCAGCTTCTAGCTCCGAAGATTTCCTTTCAAGTACCTTATGTGTGGAAACATGGGAATTCACACTTCTGCTAAGCACCATTAATTCATTCCGCAAATCATTCAAACACTTAGAGCTGATATCGCTTTCCCTCAATACAACTTCCATGTGTTCCTCTAGCTCTATTTTTTCCTTCTGGAGGTTGGAAACCTCAGCTTGTAATTCATTTTGGACCCCTCTTAGAAGACTGATTTCTTCTTCTTTGGTTAGCAAGTTCACCTCAAGCTTTTCTATCTTGAACGTCTTCTCTATCAATTCTTTACCCAGCTCATTTACTTTACTTTCTAGTTCCATTTTCAAGCTGTCAAGTACTTGAACTGAAGAATCATTATTATTTGTAATCTCCCCAAGCACTTTCTTGTTAAGCTTCTCCTCTGCATTCTGTAATTGGGGTTTATTTTCAGTCACTTTGGACTCAAAGCTGGTAAAAGAATCTACTAAAAGCTCACTGGCTGGAAGTTCAACAGGTGCGTATCCCCCTGACGATTTTTGTTTCACTGTCCTAAGCTTGAATAAGAGCTCTAAGTTTTCTTCCGTCAGCTCATTGCAATCTCTTTCTAGCTCGTTCACCTTTTCTTTCAAGTCCTCAATTTCACTGATCAGATCTGCTTCACTTCCACTCATGGTGATGGAATCCATTTCTGCAGAATGCCTTTCTTTGAGAGACTCGGACACCTTTGCTTTCAGTTTGACAATTTCTTGTTCCTTCAAAAGAAGTTTACTTTTGTATTCTGTCTCAATATCCAAAAGGGAGTGTTCGTTCAGACTCGATCCATTCTCTATCTCATGATTTTTCTCTTCCACGGTTTGTTCCACTTGTTGCACCACGACTTGCAACTTGTTCTCTGATTCCTGCAATTGTTGCAGCTGAAGCTTTAAATTTCTGTTTTCCTCTGTAGTTAAATTGATCAAGTTTTTCATATCACCAAATGTCGACTGTAGTTCTGAAAGATTCTCCAATTCCACTTTTTGTTTTTCAATTGTCTCTTCCAGCTCCTGGAGAACTGAAACCAGCTCAATATTTGATTCTTGACTTCTCTCCAACTGCAGGGACAAATTGGCTGCGGATTCTTTTTGAAAGTTCAGTTCATCTTGGAATGCCTTCTCAATCTCGGGTGTTCCTCCATCCTGAGAAGTTAAATCCTCACTGGCTGTTTGTTTTACCATTGCATTCTCAAGCAACAAATGCAAGTGTTCAACTTCTTTCTTCAAGCCATCGCGTTCTGCATATGCTGCTGAAAGCTCCACATTCATATTTGCCTGCTTTTTGGACTGATCAGAGAACTCTGCCCTCAGTATATCCAAATCAAGCATTAGCTTCCTGGCATTCCTCTCCCACATCTTAGCTTCCGCATGTAACTCTTCAATCGTAACTTCTGCCGCATCCAGAAGGTTTTTAGAAGAATCAGTGGTGCTTAAAGAAGATTCTGTAAAATCTTTCCGGGAATTCTGAGACTGAATTCTTGAACCATTAATCCTGGAATTGAATGATGAATGGTCTGACGGAGAACGAATATCAGCAGGAAAATTTCCATGAGATGTACTAATTAAGGAGGTGGTTGAATCTTGTCTTCCTATCTGGTGGTTGCCTTCAACACTAAGGTTGCTTCTCATGGACATATTATCCTTTCTTATGGAGCCCTCTGCCAAGTCATAGCTGCGATGTGAACCTGATGCAGAGAAACTACTATCCTACAAGAAGTGAGGAATGTTTATTAATTTCCATGGTAAGTATAGACCAGAGCCTGTTAATAAGCATTTTAATCCATCAGCTGGTTCTGCAGCACGCAAAACATAGAGCCTAATATGGTCTAGATATTGGTCACTTCAGTACTAAAAAACTGAATGAAATTTCTATGAAATTGTCATTAGCTAAATCGATGTGTCAAAAAACACAACACTCTTAAGTTTAAGATCATGCTCTGGATTGAATGAAGCAAACCCAATAAAGCCACCAAATGAAGCAGGTAATGCTGTATCGTAATAGCATTATGAAAAGACATGATCGATCAGTAAATGGGAAAGAAAAATTATTAGGGGAAAGCGTAAACATACTTGACTCCCAGACTCTCCGGGATTTGAGATCAAGCCAAAATCTTTTCTGGAGGAAGATCCAGCACTCCATACAACGGAGCTATTAAATCCATCTGACTTGCTGTCCGCATCATGACCATTTTCAGTTACTTCTTCTGAATGATAGCTCGTCTCTTTTGACTCTTCATCACTGAAAAAAGTGCAGAAAATCTTCACTATCAAGTATAAAACTAAATATCTAAAGATTAATGCAAGCAATTGCGTAATACTAACCTGAGCTTTTTTCTTGGTGTCAGGCAGTTAATTTTTACCTGCAAACAGGAAAGACAAGCAAACACTGCTGAAAAGGCAACTCCGAGGTGAATTTCTAGTGCAATGAGCGGGGAGAAAGAGACGTTGGAAAGAAAATAAGAACTCAAATGCATATATTCATGGAATCATGTTCTTATGTAAATAACTTCGATATGCACACGCATCCATCCTTCTAGATGTACAATAACAGGCCATCCAGCCAGTATCCTCCCTCATATTGCTAAATATGGTACAAAAGGAACTTTTCATACCAAACAATGAAAGTATCAAGCACACACATCCAGAAAAAGAGAAAAACAGACCATGTTTTAAGGCGGTAAGCATCACTTTTTATTTTTTTAAGATGCGAGTAAAACATATTCAAGTATTTTCAACATAAGTAGATGGCAGCGACTGCTACGATTTAAGCAAATTAGGCATACTAGGTACATTGGAAAAATAAGAAATGCATAGAAAAGGCACCTGTAAAATTGTTCCAAAACTGCACTTTTTCAATGGAAGAGAAACTGGAGCAGAAGAGGTTGAACTTATGTAATCTGACATATTGACTGAAACCTCTCCAAGGATGCCGGATCTTGCCGAACCCTAGGATTATAAAATCCATATAGAAATCAGACATAAACATTAGAAAAACAAAAACTCTTATTCTGGAAACGAGTCACTCCAAGTACATAAACCAGATTCCTTATCGAGTCACAGAAACTAAGAAAATTGTCAAAAATAACGGTACCATGGAAACGACAAGCTTGATGAAATAATCTTCCATCTCCTTCGAAGACTCGTCTTGGGAAATCCATATAGATTCACAAAGGGTCTCAGTCCACTGACAGTTTCCGTTGCGCACCACTGCTTTGCTTGATTTAACAATTGGTTTCCCAGTTTCTACAGACACAATTGATACAAACAGCTTGTCCCACCCTCTGGGAACCTGCAATCCCAAATATCATCAGCAAGCAAGCAAAAAAATTATATCTACTTGTTGATAGAAATACATCAACAACTCCATCTACTCAAAGAACAAACCCATTCAACACAACACAATGACATAATTCTAGATATCTGACGTGTTACGTTGTGCAAATTAGATAAAGATAAACACATGATTCCACCAGATCAATAGTCCTGATTCACAGTCTGGCAACATAATTATCCCGTAATTGCATAATATGGTGTCCATAATACAAATATAGAAATCGAACAAGATAATTTAATGTTAATCGAACGATTCAACAGTTGTGAAAGTTTGGTCTGATCATTTTGCACTTTCCAATTATAGAAGTTCACATAAATTTCCGTACATTCTTCATAAAGCTGTACAATTCAAACACACATGCTACATTTTACACTAAATTACCAATAAATTTAATCACGAAGCAATTAAATTAATACCTGGAGGGCCTTAAAGTGGGAGAACTTGAAATCCACCCTCTCCCCTGATTTAGCAGGCCTGTTCTTGTGTAGCCTGAACATTTCTCTCTCTCTCTCTCTCTCTAGATTCTCTCTCCCTCTCCTTCTTGTTGGTGTTGCTGATAACTAGTTGCTTTCTCTCTCTCTTAATCCATTTTCTCTCTCACAACCACCATTACCAGCTAGAGAGAGAAAGCAAAGAATGTCTGACTGATCACTTTCGCTGAAGCGAGGGAACCAAAGTAGAGAGAGAGAGAGAGAGAGAGAGAGAGAGAGAGAGAGAGAGAGAATGCGTTAGCTAGCTGGTCATTGTTGCGAAAGCAGCTATTTGTTCTCCTTGCAACTTTTTGGCGTTTCTTCCATTTCTTATGGAGAGAGAGAGAGTAGAATCGAATTTATGCGGCCTGCAACTGAGAATCCGGAAACAGTTTTCTCGCGTTAATTGCATCTCCTACTTCAGTACTGTACAGACACCCCCTCAGCCTCAAGTGTACGCGCTCAGTTCCTCTACTCGCGCTCTCTCCGCGACACGTGGGACATAGAGTCAGCGATTGTCAGGCATTCATTGGCTGGAGAAGAATCATACTTTCGTTTCTGCAACGGCAAATGGGAACAAAAGTACGAGTAATGGGGACTGAGAATTTCATATTTAATTTAAAGGAGGATTTAGAGCTTCCAAGCCTGACATGCTAGTAGAAAATTAAGATTTATAAAGTTGACAGTTTCTTATAGGAATACGTGATGTGTTAGTATTATTTTACGTATTATAATAAAAGCAAATGAAATAGTCAATGCGTCTCGTACTAAGAGTATATTAATAAATAATAATGAAAAAATTATTAAAACTTGAGTGAGATAGCTTGTTCCGTGACTGTATTTTGTGTAGACCAAAATATAACAGTAATAAGTGAGGGTTGTGGGACTGGGGAGGGGATGTGCTCTTTCCGGTGGGCCCGGTTATGTGAACAATGCGTTCACTTGTGTCTATGAGAGGACAAAACCTCAGCGATTAGTATTCGGAAATTTGCTCATGGGTGGGCCCATTTATGACCTTCTCCAAACCCGGGGTGGGAAAATAAATTTCAAAATTTGGGTCCATTTCTTCTACAAAGAGAGTATTTTGAGGAAGGGAAAAGCAATTCTTTTGGATTGGCATGGGTATTTGGGTATTTGGGTATTCACCTTAGCCGGATAGGATTTGGGGTGAAATGGGGCCCATCGCGGTAGCAAAACCATGTCAAATGGGTGACAACAGGGCCCGCGTGTCATTTTTACTGCGCAGGATTATCCAGTGCGGCGCAGTACATAATAAGACGGCAATGTGCGAATGATATTTCATGACCCTTCTTATTCTTCGACTGTCTCGTCTCTTCGATTATTTTTAGAATCCAACGGCTTAAATCTAATTAATTAATTAATTTTAACAGTAATAAAAAATAATTTAATAACTCAAATTCAATTGAATGGTCAAAATAACATTGTTAATTAATCCAAATCAGATTCAACACCAAAACTTTATAAATACATATCTATTTGTGTGTAGTTCCTTAAATATTCCTAACTTTTTTTTTTTTTTTGGGAATTTGAATGTTTTTTTTTACATTAAAACGTTCATAAAGAAAAAGATAGTTGTTACAATAACTAATTTCAAATTTATGGTTCTGCCTGAACCACCAACCTCACTCTTTTGAGAGGTTGGACATGAGTTCCATTGAAGCTATGGAGAGTGGTTTTACTCTTATTGATGTTGTCTAGGATTCCTATCCTTTTTGATTGCATCCTTAAAGAGGATGTTAACCCCATACCTGTTGTCCACTTATAGGAATTTTATGTCACATCCCGGTCCGGGGCGGACCACTTCTCGGGCCTGCTCCACCACCGTAGCACGATATTGTCCGCTTTGGGCTTACCATTCCCTCATGGTTTTGTTTTTGGGAACTCACGAGCAACTTCTCAGTGGATCACCCATCATGGGATTGCTCTAGCCCCCTTCTCGCTTAACTTTGGAGTTCCTACGGAACCCGAAGCCAGTGAACTCCCAAAAGGCCTCATGCTAGGTAGAGATAAGAATATACATTAAAAAGTTCGTAAAGAAAAAGATAGTTGTTACAATAACTAATTTCAAATTTATGGTTCTGCCTGAACCACCAACCTCACTCTTTTGAGAGGTTGGACATGAGTTCCATTGAAGCTATGGAGAGTGGTTTTACTCTTATTGATGTTGTCTAGGATTCCTATCCTTTTCAATTGCATCCTTAAAGAGGATGTTAACCCCATACCTGTTGTCCACTGATACGAATTTTACCACCTGCAAAAGTAGGGATAAAAACACTTAAAAATACTTGCAAGAGAACAAGGTAATTGTAGTATAAACAGCTCAAGCAAGGTCATTTTTCGCAGGGATTGAATGAATAATTTATGTAAATATCAAATCTTAATCAATTATTTGAAAACAAAGATTGGAAGAGGTTGATTTTGAATTTAAAAATAATAAAAACGAATTTAATTAAGAACAATTAAATAAATTGGCAAAGAAAAGAAAACAAAGGAAAATAGTTTTGAAAACCAAATTGTAAAAGCCTAGGGTTCCGCCGTCCCCTTAACAATCCTACGTAGTTCTTCTAATTCCTTCTGAATTTACACATGCATATTTTGAAGGTTAGGTTTTCCTAAAGTATGCCCTACCTGGAACCCCCAACATAGAACATATATCTAACATGCAACTTGTCCGTGGTATCGAGATCGAATTTGAACATGCAAGACTCATTAAGTTTTGTGAAAACCTTTTGAAAAACCATATAACTCCTAAGACGTGTCATCCATCCTAAGTAGTTACACATATTAACCACAAGAAGCCTTAATGAATTTTAGGGACAGCCCTCCACCAAAATTGCATCAAATTACTTTCTAAATATCCTAATCGTCGTGAATCACTAAAACAAATAGATAATTTAAAGCACAGTAATTAACAATCCAAAACTTGCATGCATAAATTCATAAGCAATTAAAAGGATACTACATATTCTTGCTAAGGCTCAAGGCATCACCCTAACAAACGAAACTAGTTACTAACAACTATAAAACAAAATATTATAAAAATAGAAAAATGATAGAAAACACCTTGATAATAAACTTGAATCGTCAAGGCTCTCTAAAGCCAAAGTATTGCGTTCTCCCCTAATGTTGCGTAGAGAACCCTAATGGCTAACAGGCCTTATTTATACTAATACAAAATAAAACCCTAAAAAGTCTTAGAGTAAAACTAAGAAATATAATTAAATAATAAAACAGAAAATAAAAGGTTTCCTATTTGAACTAGAATTCGGAGTTCTCAGAAAATCACACTTTTGACTGACCAAATCAACTTCGATTTGGTCCCAAAAGGTCTCTTTTGAAAGCTGAGGACGTCCTCTACAAATCCTAGGAAGGAATCTTCCTCAAAATACACCATCTTGACCTCCAAAATACCCAAAACGTCCAAAAAATGTCAATCCAGTAAAGCTGCGCTAGGCCTTAATTTCATCGCGATGGTCAAATGGCTTGGTAGAAAAATATGGAATTTTGATACAATCATCTTGAAAGACTTATGAACATCCTCCAATTGGAATCACTCCAAAATTCATCTGTTTGATCACTTTTTGCTCCAGAGGAAGTTGAATGTCCTACATTGAAAATACATAACAAAGTATCAAAATTCTACCAAAATAACTAATAAATTAATACTAAGATTAGGGTAAAATATATGATATAATATGGACTCATCAAAATACCCCCAAACTTAGCTTTTTGCTTGTCTTCAAGCAAAACAAAACTAAAAAACAAAGATAAAAACTAACAAACTAGAAGCTTAACTAGAACTCAACTAAGACAAAATTTTCATCTTCAAGTTGCAATCCATAGAAAACGTTAAAAATTAAAACATCTTTCCAAAAGTTCCAACAAATCCCACCACAGAGTCTAAGCCATTTAGAATCAATTAGAAAATAATTCATGAACTTCCTTTGGTGTAAAGTGAACCAATATGGCTAAGGAGACTCGACTAAAACCTCTACCTTTCGTCCTTCTTTATTTCACTCTTACTAACTTTAAAGATAGCTTTTTTTTTTTTTTTTTTCATTCTTCTTTTCGATTTTTCTCTTTTTTTTTTTTTTTTCAATAACAGTAGTGGTCGTGCAATGTTAGTTCACTTAAGCTTTCGATCCAACCCATGTAGCGAGCTTTAGGTCAATGACTCCCAAACCACAAAGGCTTTAGGGCACTAGATATAGAACACCCCTAAGGACTTATTAACTCGAGCTGAAAAGGCTACGAAACCAACTAACCACTCTGCCCCATGCCAAGACTCTACCGTTTGACGTGAAAATCACTGTTGATCAGGCAGGACTGCCCTGGTTACTAGGCAAAGCCTCAGGTGGAACAATTATTACTTTATTCATAACACATACTAAACTTTATTTAGAACAAAAATTAAAATAAAACTTAAGACTAAAAGTAAGTGTTTCAATCTCACTCCCTACAAACCATGTCGGTGTGATGTGCAAAATTTCAAAGTATAACTCATGAATTAGTGTCTAAGCAACAATAAATAGAAAAGACTCTATTATGGGATTAACTTTTACCATGTCCATATGTTCTAACTTTTAATATAAACTATGGATATTAACTTAAAAACGAAAATTTTAACATGACTCAAAAATAAAAATAAAAAAATTCTTATTTCCCACCCCCAAACTTAAATCACACATTGTCCTCAAGGTGTGAAAAATAGAGGAAAAATAAACTAAAGAATACATAAACTCTAACTTGACTAGAAAGAATACGACACAAATAAAGAAATAAAACTTTTTAGAAAATAAAATAAAACAAAACATAAAAGAAACAAAATACAAAATAAGAAACAAAACAAAAACTAAATAAATAAAGGGAATGGACACACCTGGGTTCGAAGACAGGACCTGATGTAGAGAGAATATGCGCTAGAAAAATAATGAAAAAGAAATGACCATCTCAGTGCTTTGGAGAGTCGAACCCGCAACCTGCCAGCTTGCTGGCATACACGGAACACGTAGGGACAACACTAATGAAGCCACACGATATAGAAACCCCATTTAAGCTTTTCAACATTCCATTGCTCATTTCCTCATTTTTCACACCTTGGCCGTTAAGCTCGTCTCCCCTCTTTTCTATAGCCTCAAGCCCAGAGCCATGAAAGCTCTCTTTCTCTCTCTTCCTCTCAAACCCTAACACAAAACCGTTGCTCTCTAGCCATTCCAAAATCTTCCAATGGTCCTAGATTTGTCAAACTCAAAAACAAATACCCAGTCGTGCCTCCATAGCTGGATTTCTGTCATTTATTCCCAAATCTCCATGTCTCTACAAATCGAAGCTCCAATCCGTCGAATCAAAGTCATAGTGCACAACAAGGTAAATACCTCCATTTTTCTTACGGATTTCATGACCAGAAGTTGCATGAACTCCATTCTGAACTTGATGCATGGGCCCATTGGTATGACGAAATTCTCTAATCTGATACTGTGTATTTTGTGCTTACAGGTTCAACCAAGAAGTGATGCAAAAGCCCAAAAATCCGTGCATAAGGTCAATCTACGTATTGGCTTGATGAATGTGCTCCCTATTGTGTTGCTTGGATCCCACCCCAAAACTTCAATGTAATTATATTTTGAATGAAGTGCGAGAAAGTGAAAGAGTGAAGGGGATCCATTAGCATAGAGGTCTTCTCAGCATCCCCACTGCGAGTATCCCTGTACCTCATCCGTGCTCCTTCTGTATCTTGTGCTTGCATTTGTGTTGAATTTGACTCCCATGAATATTCTTAATTTCTTATGAATGTGGTGATGAATTTTGTTGTGATGAATGGATGGTTGAATGCATACTGAGATGAATGGATCGAATGAGTTCCGAATACAGCCTGCAATCACAAATCAAAAACCTAATTAGATAAGTAAAGAAAAATAACAAGAATTAAATTTTTTTTTCAATTTTCTGATATTTATTTATTTTTTTGTAATTCTTGTAATTAAGAATAAAAACAGGAAAATAAAATAAATGAAATAAAAAGAAAAGAGTTAGAAAAATTGGGTTGCCTCCCAATTAGCGCTTTAGTTAGCGTCTATAACTAGACGTAGAGGAAAGAATTGAAGATCACGTCACTTGTTCCCTTAGAGTTAACCACTTCCTGATAGCATCATACAACAACAGTAGGTATGGAATGAGTTGTTGTTTATCAGTGGTTGAATTCTTCATAATTGACCTTCTATGTCAATGAATCTTTGTGATCAAATAAGGTTGTTTCCAATGAGGTTTATGTTTCCTTCGAGCTGCCTTGAACCTTGTATTTAACACTCACAACCTCTGCACTGGCAGAATTTCTCTACGAGGAATTTGGCTGTCACGGAATTGATCTTGATTTTCTTTAAATTTGATGAATTGTGATGTTTGCGTGTCCAATTCAACAACCCAAATTTTCTGATCAGTAGCCGGTTACTCCGAATCCAAAATGGTCATAGTAGTCAAAAGCTGATCATGTGATGTCTGATATACTGATTTTGAATGAACCGCTTCTAACATATCAATTCTTGTGCATTCGTGCAACCCTGTTGGGAAGGCTTCCGGTGGCACATAAACTTGGGGAGGAGAAGATTGTGCAGAAATTGTTTCACGATCAGCAGGTGGTGTTTCCTCCCTTGGGCATGACTGGCTGGTAGATTTCTCTTCCGTTTCTGCACCAATTTCTTCTTGATCATCATAGCGTTTCCCATAGTTTATTAATGGTTGAATCTGAAATTCTTGATTAGTTCTTTCAATATACAACTCAATTGATTCCAACAATTTAAAGAGTTTGTCTTCCACCGAAAGCTTTTGTGGCGCATTAAATTTCTCGAAATACTGCTCAAGATGTTTTTTCAAACTTGGAGTGTAGAACTCTGAATGGGGATTGTTCCAATGCCTTTTTGAGTTGGTTGTCATATCGATATGCTTCTGGACAAACTCATGAAAATACTCTCTCGGGACACTGCAAAATATCATGGGTCTTCAAATAGCAAAGAGCACAAAGTGTAGGGTTAAATCCATAGAAACCCCATTCTGCAAATGTGACCCATAAAGGCGGTCCTTCTGGTTGTATATTGAATCCAAGAAGAGGAACACAGTTCATTGTTGCACAAATTGTAACAAAAAATAAAAATAAATAAATAAATAAAAAATAAAATCAAGTAAATAAAAAGATATATACAAAAATAGTTAACTAAGAGTTGATAAACACAAATTATTTAAAACAATCCCCGGCAACGGCACCAATTTCTTGATATGTTAACTAAGAGTTGAATCTGAAATTCTTGATTAGTTCTTTCAATATACAACTCAATTGATTCCAACAATTTAAAGAGTTTGTCTTCCACCGAAAGCTTTTGTGGCGCATTAAATTTCTCGAAATACTGCTCAAGATGTTTTTTCAAACTTGGAGTGTAGAACTCTGAATGGGGATTGGCAACGGCACCAATTTCTTGATAGGATTTTTACCACCTGCGCAAAAGGGTTAAAAACACCTAAAATACTTGCAAGAGAAATAAGGTTATTGTAGTATAATTGGCTCAAGCAAGGTTGTTCTCCACAAGGATTAATTTAAAGAGATCAAAGCAAAAACAATTCTCAACTAATTAATTAAAACAAAGGTTTTCTTTTGAAGGAGGTGATTTAATGACCTAAACTAAGAAAAAAGAATTTAATTAAAAAGATTACTTAAAAACCACAACTTTAAAGAAAGATAAAGGAAACAATTTTTATAATTCAAAGTGAGAAAGTACTAAGGTTCTGCCGTCACCCTAACAATCCTATGTAGCTCTTCTAAATTACTTATGAACCATACATGTATATTTTGAAGGTTAGGTTTTCCTAGAGTATATCTTACTTGGAACCTCCAACATAGAACGTATATCTAACATACAACCCATCCGTGGTGTTCAGATCGAATGTGAACATGCAAGACTCATTAAGTTTTATGAAAACCTTAAAAACCATATAATCCTTAAAACCTGTCGTCCATCCTAAGAGGTTACACATATTAACCACAAGAAGCCTTATTCAATTTTAGGGACAACTCTCCGCCAAAATTGCATCAAATAACTTTTCTAAATATCCTAATGGTCGCGAATCACTAAGACAAATAGATAGTTTAAAGCACAGTGATTAACAATCCAAAACTTGCATGCATAAATTCATAAGCAAATTAAAAAGAGACTATATATTCTTGCTAAGGATCATGGTCTCACCCTAGCAAAAAGAATTAGTTACGCATATGCATACTAAAAATCATAGTCTTTATTGAAATAGAAAAAGAATGAGAACACCTTGTAGAATAAAATTTGAAAATCTCTGAACTTTGCCCAAAATCTTCTCTCCAAAAGTTGCATACGTTCTCTCCTCTCTAGAAACCCTAGGTCTGCCAAAAAGGCTTATTTATAGTACCCTCATTAAACCCTCCTAATAAAAAAATGGTCTTAGAGTAACACTAGGGAACTAAATAAATTAAAATAAAATAGGAAACATAATCCTAAATTGACTTGGTAAATTCGGCCAAAATCTTGCACAGCCACGTTTTGGACCCATATCAGCTCCAAAACCAGCCCAAAATAGCTGGATTTAAAGCTTTAACTATTCTGAACACTTCTCCAGAAGGCCACGAACCCATCTGAGGTCATCTTGGGCTCCAAAAACGCAGTTTAAGCCCAGAAACATCAATTTCCAGCATCGCGCACTGCTTCTTCATTTAATCTCCAGAAAATAACCGCTTGGTAGAAATTGTTAAGATTTTGAAACGAACAAGCTAAGGAACACACGAACGTCCTCCAATTTGAATCACTCCAAAATTCGTCCGTTTAGTCATGTTTTGCTCCAGAAGAAGTCTAATGTCCTATGTTAAAAATATAAAGTAAAGTATCAAAATTCTACCAAAATAATTACCAAATTATACTAAGAATAGAATGAATTTATAATATAATATTGACTCATCATCCACCAAGACACGACTGAACATTGCATTGGAGATCTGAACCTTGATGGCCGAGGCATCGTCGTGGGAGGAGTGAACATCTTCCAAATCCCTATCCTAGGCTTTTTACATGCTGCCTTTCTTTCGTTTCTTACCTAAGTATTCTTGGTCTACATAGATGCAGTTGACATTGAGCACTGGGCTTCCACTGAACCTTGACTTTTCAGAGGGTCTTTGAGTTTTCCTAGACTCGTGATGTTTTGGGAGTGGGGCGGCGGCGCTTAACTCATGAGTTCAGATCAGACGTTTCATCATGTGTTCTCAAAACTAGAGACAATGTCCTTTAAGTGCGTTCACCCACCTTTCGAGGTCGACAAGCTTTGTATGATCCTGAATTCGTGAAGCCTCTCAAAGTTTATTGGCAGAAGAATAGATGGGCTTCATTTCTAAAGCGTTAACTAGTCAATTATATTTTTTTTTGTCAAGCGATATATTTTGCTAGATTAGTCATCGATAGGATTTGAACACACGCCGTCATGCAATAACTCAACATCTTTCTACCACTGTAGTAAAGGACCACTTGCAACTAGTCAACTATATTGACTTACACCTAAATTCTAGGCCATAATAGGAAAGTTAATAGAATTATATAATATAACTTAATTAGCTTAATTCAAATAAAGCCTAATTACAGATACCATATAATTAAAGAAAAACTAATGAAAATGACTTGAAAACTTTGAGTTTTAATGATAAGAACAAAATAAAAGGTAAAGTGAATAGTACCAAGATTGACTTTTTAGTATAAAAATATGGTTTTTCGTTAAAGTAAACATTCCCGTGAGCTTTTTGTTAAAACTGCCTATAACTAAATGACAGTTCAGTCTTTACCACTTAAGAATGCATGAAAGTCTCGAAGTCTCACTTGCCGTCCTAAACTTGAGATAGTGACTTAGTTATCGTAGAACTACGATTACGAGGTGGGGTTTGATCTTTAGCAACTTGAGTAGAACCAATTCTAACATCTAAGACTCAACTTAGACAAAGGTTTAGGCTAGGAAAATGCCAATTACCATAGATATGTACTAACATTTCTTCAAAGCTTCTTCTCTTATGATCCCTAAGATTTAAAATGTTACTGGCTCTGCTACCTTGTAGTATGATTCAGGTTGACGATAATTCCAACTGACTACTCACCTCCCTACTTGATTCAGCCCGATATCAAAGCTGTCACTTTCTTTCAGTAGTGTCCTGCCTTAGATGATTTGAATTTTTGTTACTTTCTTCGTTTTTTTACATTTCAAGTGGATTTTATTTCCAATTCACTTAGTTATGTAGATTGGCTCATAGCCCACACATTTCTTTTCAAGAATTGTAGTTGTGTTGTCAATTATGAAGTGATTAAAACCCAAGGTCCATTTTTAGATAATTACTTATACATTCATTGTCACCTAGAGCCTCAAGGGCCAATGCCCATTTTTTGATATTAATTATCCACCCCAAATCCCAAACTCTAGATTTAAGCCCAATTTTGCTATCATGGTTCATCTCTCCAATTAGTTGGTTAGAGATACAGAGTGTTATAAAGTAATTTTTTATGATGACCAATGTGAGACAATGAGTTAGATTGTGATTTCTACTCCAAAACTCCAATGAAACACTGTCTGTTGGAGGCCCCCAACAGCGCCACGCCTATTTTCATACTTTCTTTCAAGCCTTTCCTTGACACTGAGACGGAAATAAACACTTTGGACAAATCACGTGTGGACATAATTCGAACTTTGATTTTTGTCACCAACATCTTTAGCTATTAGGTTTAATATTCACAACTATTAAATCACCTTGGACCTCAGCTATTCATTTGTTGTACTACTTAGTGCTACGTACACTAAGGAAAGATTGCTGATTTGAAAAAAAAAAAAATTCGGTGAAAGTTCGGATTGAATTGGTTTTACAAGTCCAAATCTTAATCAAAAGAAGCACAACAAAGTTGAATATAAGCCAAAAGAAACTTCACTTTTGGAACTCTAAGACGGTGTAGAAATAATCCATGTAGAATGGTCTGAAATGAGAGAAGCCAGCAGAGAGACCGAGCTGCCGGAGTTCATCAGTCCTATTCTTGCCCTTCGCCCTATAGATGGTCATCACGAATATGTCGTTTTCTAGGAGCGCACGGGTCCGATGACTTTCTCCGGCAACACCGGCTCACAAGCTATCAGCTTCCCTCCTACCGGAAGTGCTTTGTAACAGTTCTCCATTATCGGCTTGCATTCGTTATCCGTCCACGTTGATAAAACCCACTGCCAAGTTATAATATGTATTATGTTAATTAATCAAGGCAATCAATCATAATTAGTGCACATGTTTGAGCAAATTAGTACAGAAATTTGAGTGCCTGATCCGACATGCTAGCTAGGGTTACGGTGGAATGCTAGCTAGCTTTTTGGAATCAAGAGCTACTGAAGTGAAGGTAAGAAATTTTACTTTGGTTCCAACTTGTTAAGGATTTTCCACAAACCCACTAACATTTTTGCTTTTGAATTTTGGACCGTAAATAAACTTACAAAAAAGAAAAAAATATTAGTAGTGTACATTTGAGATTACTTTTATAAGAGCTGAAGGTGTTTTCTAAACTACAAGAACTTTCTTAATGCGTTTGATATTAAAATATAAAAGCATTTGTACATCGTTAAAGCCCTTCTAGGTTGTAAAAATACTGTAGAGAAATACTTACGAAGTGCTTCTTTACAAGTGATTCTCTATTAAACACTAGACAAATAAATTTCTACATCTTTACATTAAAAGCACTTCTAACATAAACACTTACGAAGATAATTTCTTCTTACGTAAAACAGTCTCATACAAGCCCGATTACTAGTTAAACGTACGACTAGCATGTAATCCTTCCGATCAAAAACTCTATTCCAAACACAGCAATATATAGTAGAGTCATCAATTCATCAAATAAGGGGTAGTATATATGCAACTGTTTTTTAATGAACCGAAGCCAAACAAATATCGGCTCCGTTTTAGAAATTTGTAACTCTAAGGGTGCGTTTGTTACATATAATTAATTTGGCTGGGACTAACATAAGAAATAAATGTACCTGGTCTGAACTATAAGTATTTAGAATATAGAGTATGAATAGACTCATTCATGCATCTAAATATAGTTAAATAAGTCACCACTCATAAAATTTAAGTCGAACAACGGCGTTTAGAGACATCAGGAATTAATTTAGAGTTGCTGAGCTTATTCTTCTTCTTGATCTCAGAAAAGAAATCAATATACAAATTTATCAAACTCTGACATGGCATTAGAGCCAGGTTACAATCATCTACATTGGCGTGAATCTGTTATTCTTGGTGGCTGGAGAACTCGAATCGATTCGATCTTCGTCGTACCAAATCTGGGTTTCTGAAAACTCTGGGTTATTCAATTACAATTCTAACATGGCTGAATTGAGTGATGCTGAGCTTCCAGCACAAGTTTTCAATGGAAAAAACTTGGGTTTCTAGCAAATCAAAATGAAAACTATATTCCCATCTCATGAGATCGTACGCATGGGATCCTTGTAGCAAATCAAAATATATATATATATATATATCATATTTTTTTTTGTCATAATCAACACAGCAGTTTGTACAGTTTGTCTTAATCATAAGCTATATGGTGTGGAGAATGTGTTTAGCTTTTATAGCCAACACACCAGTTGATACTTGTATAGCTTGTTGGTATGGTTTGTATGTATTGATCTGAAAAGTTTCACTGTTTTAGCAAGAATTTATATTTGCAATGCACACTATGTGTTTGTTGAAATGCCTTTGTGGAGGTTTTTGTAGACGTTGGTTCTTTTTTCATTTAGGTACCGTCAATTAGGTTCTATCCATTTGGTACGGTCATTTAGATACGTTCTGTAGTTTGGGTCCAATTGATTCGGTACGGTCAATTAGGTTGTGGATTCAATTACTTATGTTATGATGTTTAGGTCCGTTTGATTCGGTACGATCAATTTGGTCACACTTTCAATTAATTACACATATAGTGTAGGTCCAAACGATTCAGTATGAAAAAGTTGGTACCGTTTGTACTAATTATGATTGAATCCACCTGAGGACTTATTTAATCCATCTTGTTGTAATACCTGATGCATTTCAATCATTTTGTAAACCCTGAGGAGTTTCCATCTTATATGAATCCACAAGTTACAAGAATTATGGAACGGAAGAGGAGTGAATATTCATTCCCACAATACAGGTCTAACATGGGGACCTTGGCAGAAGCCTACCAAAATTTCAAAATCATATCAAACCTATCCACCTAGAACTACTTATGGAGAGGACACCATTTTGGGGCGTCAGGACATACAAAGAAGGCATTGAGACAGGTGATGCATGGAAGAACGACTACGATGTTATTGATATACTAGAGATATACAATAAGGATCTTAATTGCTTTGATATAGGCGGTAAGCGTTTGGCGATAAAAGCTGCAGATATTGCTACCATTTTTGGACTACCTGAAGGAGGCAATGATATCTAATTCCATTTCTCCTACAAACAAATAAAACATCAAAGAAAAGTGAGTACAATGAACTAAACATGTGCACCTAAGAAGGAGACAAAATGGTCAATACCTAAGGGCAAAACAGGAAAACTAAAAATATAATAAATTTGTACAAAAAAAATTAAACATGACATGGATTGTATAATTTGACGTGGGCACGAGTCAAATGATTATTTTTAATTTTTAATCTGCAGTATGGCATTATTGAAAAGTTGATCTTATTTAGGGACTAAAATGAAGTTTTCTAAAAAAGGGAAATTAGACTCTACAACACCGTATCTGTACGTTTTTACATCTATCTCATTTTTACAGAATCCCAGGAGCAAAAGTGAGTGCCCGTCTTGTTGAGATTTGTAATTAGGAAAGAATAATGATGAGGAGATATATTTTCGTACCATATAAAAATTATGAAACTCGATTTGGTGCCCGGTAGTGTCATCTATTTACTTCTTTGAAGTGCGACAATCACACTAAAAAACTCTATAAACATCCCTACTTTGTTCCGGTAAAATACTTGTACAGACTGTTGACACTTCCAAGGGACACTGGGATTATCCCACCGCTTACATGCATTGTTTAATTAACTGAATGCTAAGAGGCGGACGAAGACGAGGATGATGCAGCGAATGCAGATTTTGCCTGTCGTTGGCTTAATTTCATGTACAAACCCTGCAACAAAGAAGCAAACTGTTAGGAGACCATTTGCGCTTTCATAACTAAATTTCTTATCCAGATTTGGATGTGTAATAAACTTCTTGCATGTGAGTTGGAAAACATTACATTTGTGGTGTGAATTGTTGCTCCGGTTGTCATGCTAATTTTCTGATCCGGAACCAGCTCAAAGTTCAGGTTCTGAATAAAGATTGTGAGAGCAACAGTCGCTTCCAGCAGAGCAAATTGATCACCAACACACTTCCGTGGCCCTCCGCTGAATGGAATGAACCTACAGTAGATAATTCTGTTTAACCACAATTTCATGCCAAATGGGCTATGTAAATGCAAAGAATGAAGCCATTCGAGCTCTAGGTCGAATGTTTGTAAGCATGTGTTTCTCGAAAAGAATGCTATCGATGAGAAGTCCAGAGATTATTTAGGCACTGCAACATCCCGAAAGGGCATAAATTATAAGTACCTGAAATCTGTGTTTGTTTCATTAGGTACGGAGCCTTCAAGATCAAATCTTTCAGGTACAAACTCTTCTGCTCTCTCCCACACCTTGTAAAACCATGGGAAAAATACACACCAAATACGTTTTTAATTTCTAAAATACAATGTGAAATTCGAAAAATACAAGAAAGTTTGTTCAAAACTTAACATAAGATGGTACCTTTGAAGAACGATGGATATTGTATACTGATATCATAATATCTTGACCAGCATTGACTTTGTAATTTCCCGGGAGCACGTCAGCTACTTGAGCTCTTCTTATCAAAACCTAAATAAATTAGAACAATGAAACCACCAAGAACAAACATGAGTTGATACAAACTTGGACAATTGACTGTTTTTTCAAATTTTCCTAATTGTATTACAGTTAACATAAACAAGAGAACTTAACATACAGGAGGATGTGGGAAGAGACGCAATGATTCCATTATGCAGCGTGTCAAGTACTTAAGGTTCTTTATGTCATCATAGGATGGACGCTGTCCTCGTAAAACTTTATCAACTTCTTCTTGTGCTTTCACCAAGGTGTGGGGATTCTACAATAATGAAAATAATCAAATACATGAAAAACAAAATGAGTACACTCGTACCTCAGCAACCTATTGGAATGAGAGAAACACAGAAGGAATGATACCTTACTTAGAAGATATAGCGTCCAAGTCAACACTGAACCAGTTGTCTCATGTCCAGCAACCAACATAGACAAAAGATCATCCCGCAATTGCTCACTTGATACCTGAAAAGTATTGCATCCTCAGTCCTCAATCTTCACTTTTACAACTAAACAGTATAGCGACCGGAGTCTTTACTTTACAACTAACATTAATGATTGAACAAGATTTGGATTACTCTTGGGCTCATTAACTCAGTCTTAATAATTCTTCAAAAAATGAATAACGAGAAACATCTGGAGTCTTTCTCGTACAAACATTTACATACTTATAAAGTCCATCTCAAATCAAGCATATCAGTAAAAGAAAAATGAGACGAGAATTTTCCACATACGCATATGCAGATAATACGCTATCATTTATCATAACACTGTTATTACGTATGATCAATAATGCTCTTTTGGAAAAAAATAAATAGTGTTCCCTTTTTCAACATTAAGTTTGATTCCGTCAATGTAGTGTAAATGCCTATCCAAAATGGACCTTTCAAACTGTCGATGCTAACAAGATAAGAGAACAGTTATTATTGAATGCTAGTATATGCCAACCTCTTCTCTACTTGCAAGCAAAAAGCGAAGGATGCTTGGATCAGTGTCATTTATATATTCTTCCTCATCAATTCTTTCGCCCTCAGCTTCCACAATTTCTTTGCACTTAGCAATAAGTTCTTCAACAGAACTCCTGATCACTTGAACTGCTTTTTCAGCTTTTATTTGTCTTGGGATTATCTTCCGCAAAACATCAACCTACAACAACCAAATAAAAGAAATCAGTAACTGTGATCACATTCCAAATTGAAAGGAAAAAATACAGCAGCATAAGATTAGCAAACTTGAGAGAGAGCTTGCCTTCCAATATGGTAATATATCAGTAGAGCGAAGCTCAGCCTCTTTCAATGCAGTGTAAACAGACTCAATAACCGGGCTATAAGCATTTAGTGAATCGAAATTGTAGTTGAACAAAGACAGGCCTATAACATCAAGAGTTAACTGAGAAAATCTGTCCTCCATGTTTACAGCAGTTCCATTAAGTGCATCACGTTGTAGCTTCTCCACTAATCTCTCAGCACATTTGCAAAATACTCGATCTACTATCACGGACAAGTATTTCTTATGAAGAGATGGCACCACAGCCCTGCGCCTCGCCTACTATGAATAAGACATTCACTCCAAATGAGATGGGATAAAAGAAAAACCTGCTGAACTATATATCTGGTTTCATATTTCCATGAAACATGCAAGAAGCATTACTAAGATCACAATTCAAATTTCCATGTAGCTCAACAAAACAAGTTGAGCAAGGCAAACACCCGAATGAAATGCAAAATTCGGTTTGATCAAGAAAATCAGAGCTCACTAGACTCATTCTGCTCTTCTTTATCAACATATCCATTACTAAGAAATCACCACCTATATTGAATTATAACTAAGAACAACACAAAGCATATACACAGCCCTACCCATATCAGAGCAAACTATACCATGTCAAGACTTCATATTTCAGAGAGACAGATTAGCGGCTCACTACTAATCACAGATATTGTCACCAACTTGCATCTTACCACCTACTAGCACAATAAACGTGGAGTTCTGTTACAAAAGGCCTCGGTGCAATTAGGAGTAACACGATTCATTATATAGTATATTTTATTTTGTCAATTTTCCGACATGGGATTCTTACATTCCTCAACAAACCCACGTCTGTAATTAAGCAATTTTCCAAGTTTTTTTTTCTTCCGAAACGGGGAACTGAATAGCATTACCGTCCAAAGCGGGCCTTCAGCGATTGCAAAACCAGAGCCGAACAAAAACTCAGAGACTTCAGCAACAAGTCCCTTCGCGTACTTCCCGTAATTCCTAAGCACGTGCTTAGCAATGGCAGGGTCACTGACCACAAGGAAATTTCTCGGCCCGGCGGCGAGCCGGTAAATCGGACCATACTCGTTCATCCATTTGAACAGCGGCAGAAACAGAGCGCCACCCAGAAGCTCCGACACGTCCTCGAGCTGAGCGCTGGCGATGGGGATGCCGGAGTCGTCGTTTTTGGAAATGGTGAGGGAGCGAGTGAGCGAAGTGAGCCAATTTGGGCTGACCCATGAGCTGGGTTTGGAGTTTGTGGTGGTGGGTTCCTTGTTGTCAATGGAGGCTCTGAGGGAGGAGATGGAGTGGAATGGGGCGGCGCGTTTGGGAGGAGGGATTGGGTGGAGAGAGAAGGAGGAGAATGATGAGAGAGAGTGAGCCATGGATAGCTGCTGTGAATGGAGAGAGTCTGTTCGACCCTACAAAACCAAACTCACTCAGTGTAGGCTTTGTAGCAGCCAACGATATCTCCAACTCAGCCTCAACTGCTTGTGCTAGTCTCGGTAGGAAGAAAGGAAAATCTTTGGCTCGAACCGGTTCGGCATTCTTTTCTTTCTTCCTAGTTACAAGCGAAAGTTCCTAAATTTGACTTTCGTAAATAATGAGATCGATATCAACAATAATGACTACTTCATTGTGTCATTTAACTCACTCACAATTAATCCTAATTTTTTGAAAAATAAAATGGGGATCCTTAAAGGACGATCCAAACAATCTATTTTTCAAGTTGCACCTCATAGATCATCTTTACAAATATTACTCAAATTGAAAATATTTGAGGCATCTAATTGAGTTCAAAGAAATTGACGAACATTTATTCTATAAGAAATAATGAAATTTCATTGTGATAATTAAATAGAAACATGGTTTTGAATTGAATTGAATTTTTGTAAGGATGATCTATAAATCGAGACTTACAAAATAGACGATTCAAATATTTGAAGTTCAATGTAGAGTGAGCCTCACAACTAATCCCTATTTTTTTTAACTTCAACGATCTAAACCGTTTGTTCTATAAGGCCTTCAAGTTGCACCTCGTAGACCATCCTTATAAAATATTAGTTAAATCGAAAATATTTAAGGCATTTAATTAAGTTCAAAGAAATTGACGAATACTTTGTTCCTAAGAAAACATTGAAATTTTCTCTTCATAATTAAATAGGCAAATGGTTTCAGATTAAATTGAATTTTTGCAAGAATGATCTATGAATTGAGACTTACAAAATAAGTGGTTCAGATAATTGAAATTTGATGTGAAGTAGGTCTCATAACTAATCTCCAATTTTTCAATAAAGTGAGGAACCTCTTTCATCAAAGTGCAAATATATTTTTATATTTAGAAAAAAAAATCCCAACAAAGATCATCAGAAAGAAGAAAGCTTAATGGTTACTTCAAACAAACACAAGTATTATAATAAAGGGCAATTAGCAAGAATGGTAACTACTGAAATTTAATTAAATGATCATTTTTTAACACCGACAACATATTGATTGTATATCAACGACAAGACAATGAAATAAAGAAATGTCGACACCTAATTGTTTCTGCAACTAAATATCAAAAAGTGATCACTTGTGCTAATTATCCTATATTTTCTAGATTTGTCGTTTTAAATGTTAACAAAATGATAATTTATCATTGGTTACATCAAGATCTAGCTGAATATAATCGGAAATCCACCCTATATTACAAACTAAGAATTAGAAAAACATCGCGTACTTTATCCAAAACGGGTAAGTGAACAAAGTTAAGGTTTCACCATTTAACTAATTAGTAATATAGGGAGTATTACTATTACTTATAAGTACATGCAAAGTCTCTTCTTTCCCGGATGTGTGATTCATACTCTCAACACACCCGTCACATGTGATGAATTTTTTAGTCCTAGTATGTAAACACAAAAAATTGGGTGATGTGGAACACATGTGACCGTTGGGCTCACACATGGGGTAGCTTACTCTGACCTGCCTTATTAAAACCTGGAAAATCATAGTCCCACAAAACCCATATTCGATTCTTGCTAAAACTCTCACCCACTCCGCGTAATGTTACAATAACTAATTATAAGACATTTTCGTAGAGAAAAACAAGATCTAGTGATGAAAGGAGGGTTTCTGTTAGGATATGAAGGTAAAAGAGTCCCACATCAATGAAAGGAGAAACCTTGAAAGGGGTTATAAGAGGTTGAGCTACTCTCCATATTACTAATTAGTTTTAAGGTGGAACCTCAACTTTCTTTAGTGTTGGAACAAAAATTCCACACCACCATGGATCGTAGAGAAACCAAGAATAACCACCTACAAACAAGAGCAAACAATCGTGATTAACCTAATGTACCAATGTGGCACTGACTAAAGGGTCTATGATGGTTAAGTTAGTTTAAAATATTAGAACTCAAGCAAATGACAGAAGACCAAAGCATGCGCTATGAAAGTGTTATCATAGATGAATCCTAGATGAGTGTATTATACTAGTCGAGAAAGTGTCCTTTTAAGATGTAAGATACATATTAAACCACTGAATCCTAAAGGATATCTAACATAAGATATGGCTTCCTTTTTAGATTGTTTTTACTTGCAGCGTACGCTAATTCCTAGATTGTAGAAATCTCCAAAAATATAAGAAACTAATAAGATCCCCAATCAAACAAGGTTTCTGAGCCTTGTGGAACAACCATGGTCGATCTCAGCAAGGTCTCTGTTGAGTGTGTAAAGTTATATTTATATGCCTTCTTTTACTTAGGTTTTTGACTTAAAATCTCTGTGCATCACAAGGTATTTTGTTGTTTGTATTGTATTTCAGGATGAAAGTAAGGGCTTAAAGAAATTATCTTATTTTGAATATTGTAACAAGTTGCCCAAGATCCTCTAGAAAAGGCCCTTATAGAACAACCAACTTGCAAGCTTTGCCCCGAATTGCTTCAAACGAATTAGAAAATGGGCCATACATGGTTGGAAAGCCCTGGAAGTCTTATTTCTGATGGTCTTTACAACTTGTGATTTTGATGTTTCGACAAGAAGTTATAATAGAATAAAGAGGAGCTGTTCAATTACAAATTCTAATAACAGCTAGTTTTCAATTACTCTAATACTAAAAGCTAGTTGTTATGAGTTATAAATGAGAGTCAATTCAAGAATGTAAATGTGTTAGATGTTAGATAAGTCCTAAACCTTTTAATAGGAGACAAATACACTACATGAGAAAAAAAGAGGAGAAGTTGGAGAGAGAGTAGGAGTCTTCGGCCTTGAGTAGTTTCTAGGTTCTAGCTTTCATGACTTTTTATGTATTTTGTTTTTATGGATACTTAGGGCTGCTTTGAAGCCCTAGACATGATTGAATTAATGTTGTGATGAAGTTTTAGTTTATCGATTTCATTTGCAAGCTAGAATCAGTTTTCTGTTTCAATCATTTCAAGCACATATTTTCAAGCTTAGCTCCCTTGTTTATGTTTGCTTTCTGTTGAGAATGATAAGGATGACTGCCATATCTTCTTTCATTCATTAGCAACATGTGGTTAGGTTCAGAACTAATCATGTAAATTGATTCCATGAAGTTCTAGGATAAATGCCATGTTCTAGGGTTCATGTGATGTTCATAATCCTCTTCGTTCTTAATGAGTTTCTAGGTGCTAAATCTGAGTATATGCCATGCTAAATCTGAGTATATGCCATGCTAGGTTGCACCTACGAATATAAGTTTTATGTATATGCCATGCATCTAACATGCAAAGTAAGAGAGGATTCATACAATCTACTTATATGCCATGCTAGATATGTAAACATCTTAGCTGTGCATTTGAAAGGGATAAGTTAAAAGATCATATCACTGATTTTGGAATGTTTAGGGGAAGGCCCTTGTTCATTTGAAGTCAAATTTATGTCCTAAAAACGTTTCTAACCTATTCCATGTCTTAGGTTTGTTTTTAGATAGTTCTAATTTTTCCCTTTTCTTTCTGTTTTTATTTCTTTTCCAAAATTTCTCAAACCCCCCATTTTAAGTCATAGGAGTCTTTAAATAATGCTAATTTGTAAGAGTCAAATCAAATGTTTTACTAAGTTATTTCTTAGTCCCTGTGGTTTGACACCCTTACTTGTGCCGCTGTACTATCCTTATATTTGCACTCGAAAAGAACTTGAACAGCCTGAGGGCCTTGCTTGCCATTCCAATGCCCATCATTGCTGTTTAGTCAGCTAAGTTTGGTTTAGAGGTGTTGAGTCTGTGTCTAGACTTCAAAGACACTTGTATTTTGATCCGCCATACTCCAACCTAGTTAAATTTAAGGTCCCACAAATGCCCCTAAATAAGCTTTGAAAAGGGCACCCAATTGAGGATGAATATTTACTCAATGGCCATGCTAGAGTAGATCGAAATAGCTTGCCGTTCAGAATTCATGTAACACGTGTCAATTTAATTCCGTTACCAATGCAAGGTAGTGAAGACATTTTGGATTTGAATATGTGACCGTTGAATAGGGTGTCATTAAGACAAGGTTGATGATGGGTCGTCACTTTGCACGTGCACGAAGCTCGAGAGGCTACATTTTGTGTTTTTTTATAAGATCTAATCGTCAGATTCATGAATCTAGAGTCAAGTCATTCTAGATTCAACAGTCGTGTGATTAAAAAAGAACTCTATAAATATCCTATTCTTCCTCCTTATTTTCTTTATGTCTTCGTCACTGAGATCGTACCGATTGGACTTGCCTTTACCTTTCTTATTAGCAGGTTCTTCCTTCTTAACCCTATCCTTCACGTACTTCTTGTGTTTAGGCAAGAAATCTCACTGGGAGGGGTCCCTAGCTCGAGCACATAGCTCCCTAAGGAGTTGGCACTTTGGTTGGTTATCGGGCTCTTGCTTGTTGAGATGCTACAAGAAGAAGGCAAAGTTAGTTTTGAAAGGTGCCTTTGTGGGGTCTTAGGTGTAGGCCTTGAGGCCCACAATCAAAACTAACTAAGTGCTTAGACGTGCTACTGCCATCTCAGTATGGTAAATGTAAAACAAGTGTATTTAAGCCGATTACTTGCACCCCAAGTTATTTTGACGTCTTGTTATCAAAGGATTGCCGTAGATGGGTTAAGTGTACATTAAGTTCTTTTCTATGCCTTGAGAACAAAGACTTTTAGTTGGTTATTTTGTATGCTTAAAGGGTGGAGGTCCAGATCTAATCAAGTCATCAGTTTAATTCACATTTAGTCTTCTTTGGTTCATCAAAAGACTGGAAATAACTTGAATATATATTGGGGAATACATCATAACACCAGATCTATTAACTTAATGACAAAACAAAGAGAGTTGGGCAAGATTTCATCTTGTCGGGCAAGGTTTAAATGTCTTGCGGTCTCTTCTCTTTGTAGTTACAGGGGGTTGACTACTAAAGCAGGATGAGTGGTGAACAAGTTTACACAAGAAAATCGATACTACAACATTTAGGAGAGGTAGCAAAGCTTTTACAGTAGACAAAATATGTCTTTTTAAGGGGATTTTAAGGCTAAAAGGGTACATAATTTGGACAAAGCACATC